GCCCCACCGGCTCAGCGACTGGTGCCTCCTGGGTCTGGGGGGACACCTGGGATCCCCCTGCAGCCTATTGCTGAGGCAGGGGGGCCCACAGGAGCCCCCTGTGTGCTCGGTGGTGGACCCAGAAGTGGACTGGAAGTACCAAGCAGGCCGGGGGGCAGTAATGAATCAGGACAGTGATCCAAATCAACTAATTGAACCACTGTCCCCAACTTGGGCCAAATCCAAATCCAAATCAAACACGGCCCATTTTGCATACCCCTAATACATACCAGTTTTTGGGTTTTTTGTCACTTATGCCAAGATTTAAATTATTTCATTATTTGCCTTTTGAATGCCTTTCCCAGGAAAGAGATTCAAAGTAATCCACTGAAGAGTCTAATATTGCTATATATAATCACAGCACCTAGGCAGTCTTCTAAGATAACTCCATACTGGGTTTCTGAATATAGCAGTAGACCACGTATCACAATCATCGTGTTGGTCACGTTTTCCCCAGTAAGTGAGTCCTTAGGCCATTTACCCAGGACAAGGGAGAGCTGATTTCTAGGCCCTTATCAACCTGAGAGGATTTAAGTTCAGATATCTTTCTACAACAGTGTCCTCATTACTAGGCTGAGCGAGGGCACTTACCAGCTCTCCTTTTAAAGCTGTGTCAGTGCCAGAGGGAGAATGAGCATGAGGTTTTCTGTCTCTGTAGCCTATGGTTTAGGATAGGCTGAGAGGGGGAGATGATTCTTCTATCTCAGCAGTGCTTATTCATTTTACATTAGGTGATCATTGATTAAAAAAGAAAGACAGAAATAAATTCAGCAGCTCATATTGTAGCCCAGCATTCTCTTCTCCCAGAGGCGTGTCTTAACCAATTTAATATAGAGGCAGATTGCTTCCAGCTAGATCTCCTTCTAGCCCCTTTACTCTTGTACTCAAGGCTGCCCAGCTTCAGTAGCAGGGGTTGAGAGTGCCCTCACTCAGCCTGTTTCATTGCTAGAGCTATCTCCTGGGAAGTGGGAAATCTGAATTTAAATCCCTTCAGAGTAGGTCCTAGAATCCATTTAAGAGCCAGATTCAGATTGCATCAATAATTACATAAACAGACCTTGGGTGGGAGTTTGACTATCTATCTAACATTTACATTATAACATCATCTAAAAAGTTGTGTGTTCTCACATCTGTTTTATGTTTTTATTTCAGAGAGTGAAGGTGAATGTCCGTCTCACATAATAGTCATGTGTCGAGGTCGAATATTTGCCTTTGATGCTGTGTATGAAGGTCGCATGCTGAACCCTTCAGAAATTTTCAGGTTTTCAAACTATTTTGCATTAATTAAGCCTGCTGAGATCTGAATATCTTTGCAGAGCTGCAGAACAAAATGATCTGGGTCTTGCTTTTAAAATAACAGCACCCCATGGCCATTAAGACTACTGATACTTATATTTGGAGTGGCAGAATACCAGTCTTCTGTCATGTTACTTGGAAACTACAGTTCCTGTCAGTTTGTCAAGGAGAGACTTTTGAAAGTGAGAATTTCAAATCAACCAAGTCCATTTAAGCATATTTTTAAGTTTTAGAGGAATTGGAATTTTCCCTCTATAATTGTACTTTAACACATTTTGCATCTTAAGTGACTTCAGCTAAACAGTATCTCCATAGTTTTGAAAGTGTTGAGAGGTAGGGAGAAGGAAGCTTACAGACATGAAACATCATTTCTTATATTTAATACCCTAACATTTGGTAACATCATGCAAACGTAGGCTGCTAAAAGACATTTATGTAGCAAGTAATTATGAATCAATGGTGTTGGGGCTGTTGATGTTAACCTGCCAGAATTATCTATGAAGCAAGTTTTCTTTAGTAATATCTTTTGTTGGACCAGCTATATATAGTTAGGGGACAGATTAGACAAAATAAAGTGCTATCTCTTTCTCAGATCTAGAAGCCTATGGCAAATGTCTGTAACATATTTCCTTTGCCAACCAATCCAAGTAATAACGTGGAATCTATCAACAACATCATCATAACAAAAAAAACCCAACAGAACCACCCTCTTTTCCCTCTAATCCCTTCTGACCACATTTGAAATATAACTAGAGCTGTGCATCTTAGGTTACTTGTTGGCAAGGGTGTATGGTTTTTCCCACTGCTGAACACAACAAAGGTAGAACTAGGCCCCAGCCTACACAGGCTGATAACATTTTAAGGGTCTTTTGTGTCAGCTGAAGATCCCTGGGACAGCAATAGTGTATTTACCTCTTATTCACTAGGACTGGGAAAATGGCCTGTTTTTTCCTCTTTTGTGCCCATGAAACACTGTGTAAGAGCCGTAGTGAAAGAATCTAGTCTTCTGTGCTGTAGTCTTAGATTGCTAGATCAGATAGTCATGTTTATTGGTCTTCAAAACCAGCTTGTTTTCTCTCCAAGAGACTGCTATGTATTCTTTCTCCTAATCATGGAAATTCAGAGTAAGCACTTATAACTACCTCTTTTTGAACAATTATAATCAAAACACTTCCAAGAAGGATTTTGAATATTCAGGAGAGCAGAATGTGATGCCAATTTTACAGGTGACATAACTATTAGACCACTATTAGACCAGTCAAGCATTATTGTATGCTTCAAGTTAGTTACTCTGATGGAGTTTCAGAGTACCTCCACTGCTATCAGTCCAGAACATTTGGGCTAGTAGTCACTGAAGGAGGGTATGTATAGTACTATGGTAGTACTGTGTAGTACTGTGCTTACTGAAATGTTTTGCTATCAATTAATTTAGAAGAAGATGTGTGGCTAAATCACTTAATTTTGAACACCCTACAAGGGAAAAATAGAGTTAGGCACAAATGGGAATTTGTACCCGGCGAAATTCCAGTATTTCAACATCTGTATTAAAGATACTTCAATATCCTTGTCTCTACATTATATTATATTAAGCAATATAATGCAGGGACAATAAAAGCATCAAAAAAAGAAATACAATCAAGCAAGTGCCTAAGAAATTTCAAAAAGAAATGTAAAACTCTAGAACTCTTGGTTCAGAGATGATACCTTTTATTAGACCAGCTAAGAAATTGCAGAAGTTTTGGGTGTACACGCCCTTCCTCAGGCTCAGGGAAAATTCAAGATGATAAAAAGTCCCCATAGATAGAAAATAAACTTCATTTTTGCACAGAGGAGGCTGAAGGTGGAAGTCTGCTCCTCTGAGTCCATGAGAGTGTCTTTGTGAGTTGCTCTTTGATGTGCAGATAAGACAGGATTCCTTCCCCAGTGATGTCAGATGGCAGGCAGGGAGGTGTAGAAATCTTTCTTGTTTATCAATGAAGTTTAAATCCAAAATTGGCTAAAATTCAGCATCTTCCATGTTTCAGGGATGTATTTGGTAGCCCATTGGTATGAGACAAAAAGAACTTTTCTTTTTCTTTAATTTTCCCTGAGCCTGAGGAAGGGCTTATATGCCCGAAAGCTTGCAGAAAAAGATTTTTTGTGTGTGATTTCTTAGTTGGTCTAGTAAAAGGTATCATCTCTGAACCAAGAGTTCTAGAGTTTTGAATTTCTTTTTGTCTCAGACCAACATGGCTACCAAATACATCCTGAGAAATTTCAGAAACGTATTAACCATTGAGAAAAATTTAAATCTTAAAGCGACTTACAGGTATGGTAATAGTACTTAACATTTTACCTTATCTTGGATGTGTTGTATTGTCTTATTTTGGATCTACAAATGTATCCTGTGAATGCTGTTTAAATACTAGTCAGTACTGAAGTTTAACAGGTAAAACTACCAAATTAAAATATATGCCAAATAGTAGAATTTGCATTAAGTATTCAGATTGGTGGTTGTTTGTGAATTTGAATAGAGGACAGGACAGAGAAGGAACAGCAAAGTTGGTGTAAACAGAACTGCATTTTCAGACTGCATTACAAAGCTGTGAATCAATAGTTTTTTGAAGTACAAGTAGAAGCAAAGGCTTGCATAATATCTGAAGTACAGGTATGTACAAAGGCAACACTATATGGCATAGTTCATGTGCAGCCCTCTGGGTTGGACTACAAATACTCCCCTTTCTTTTTTTCTTTGTTTAAGCAAATATAGGAACAAAAGTTTAACACTGGAATTGTATGAATTTGGAGTTACTACTAAAGAAACAATATACAATTCTTGTAATTTATAATCGCCGATGACACCGAACTTTGGGGCAAAGCATCCACACCTGAAGACAGGAGGGCAATCCAGGCTGACCTGGACAGGCTCAGCAAATGGGTGGACAAGAGCCTAATGGTGTTTAACACTGAAAAATGCAAGATTCTCCACCTTGGGAGGAAAAACCTGCTGCATCCTTATAGGCTTGGCAATGCTACGCTGGCTAGCACTAGGGAAGAAAGAAACTTGGGGGTCATCATTGACTACAAGATGAACATAAGCCTTCAATGCGATGCTGCGGCTAGTAAAACAACTGAAACGCTGGCTTGCATCCATAGATGCTTCTCCAGCAGATCCCAGGACGTCATTCTCTCCTTGTACTCAGCCTTGGTGATGCTG